CGGAGACCGATGGAAGGTTAGACGTTTGTTAAAGTTCTGTACCTCTTAAGGATCAAAAAGCCATATTTAATGCGAAAATAGAGGTTTTTGTTTCGAAGATACAGCTCCCGCACCATGAGTAGTTTAAGCACATATCTAGCCGCATAGAAACGCAGTTGCGCCATCGGTCCCCGGAGACCGACGACGCAGTCAACGTGTTAACTAAGAAAACTATTATTTTTAACTAAAACCCTACCTTCAATTGCCAAATTAAACAAAACAAGTTATGTCGTAACTTATGGTATATTTTATGTACCTAAATCATAATGTAATAGTTTTTCTATGCGTTTTTTTAACTAAATATCTCTAATGGGTGTAAATAAGCAACAAAATTAAACACTAATATAATTTATTTTAATAATTTAATTTTTTACACAATAGTTTACCTATTTGTGCTCACAAGCTTATCATTGGTATGCTACAAAGTGTGCAATTAATTAATTTCTGGTACCATGGGTTATCACAAAATTTACTGATGTTTTTACTAGTGTGATGAGGGCTTTGTAATAAAAGGGCAGTGGCCCATATAAGCAAAAACTTTATTATTATAGATAACATGGTTTTGCTTATTTACTTAGGCATTTGCATATTTGGCCCTCAATACAAGCTCTCTGATCTTATTCCTTCCTTCCATCTCTTACCACTAGAAACGTAATGACCCAAGGGATGACACAAAGTTCTGTGTTGTCTTTAAACAACACATATCTGCAATTGCAGATATGTGTTGTTTAAGACAATTTAATTTGTGTTTTTTCAACTTCTTTCATCTTTATTTGAATAGTGTTTCATTTTTCAATTCAATTGAATGTTTTTGTATAATACGTTCTAAAATATTTAAAAGAAATGATCAAAAAATGTGCTAAACGTAATATTTACCCAAAATATTTACCCTTCTTTTTGTTTTCACATTATTCAATATCTTGAACCTTCAATTTGTTTGATCGTGAAATCGTTTTCCACACTCTGTACATGCAAATATGTACTACGTGGAACTTTTTGGGATGTTTTCGTAAATTTGAAACAGTTCCAATTTATTTTCACAATAACACAAACAAATAGGTTATGTTCTGTGGATGACAAGCATGCATGGGGTTGCATATATTCGGCGCGGAAGTAACTCTTTATTTTTATTGGTTGGGATCATCTGTGACTTTCTGCTCCCTAGACGCTAGTATTTTTTTGTGTTTATTATGTTGTCCACAAAGAAAGTTTAATGGCTAGAATCTCACGTGATGGATAGGGGGGGTCTACAACATCTCACCAAATCTCACCAAGGGGGAGGGAGGGGTCTAAATTATCAGAAAAATGCCTTACGTAATTAATGGATGTCCCTTTTTTTAACTTATGGGTACTAAATAATAATGTAGGTATTTTGTACTTTTTAAAATTATTTTTTTAAACCTTTACTAAATATTATTTAGTTTTAGTTTAAATCTTAATTTAATTTTAAAAATTTCGAAATTGGACAACGTTAAGGGGGCATCTATTCATTACGTGAGGTGTTTAGGGGGGAGGGGGTCGACCCAAACCTCACCCAATCTCACGAGGGGGGAGGGTGGTCTCGGCAAATATCACGTAACTTTTTTTCTGAAAGAAACAGTAAAATTGCGAGAAAACTGGGTTAAATTAAGTAAACAATTATAAGCAAAATCTCACGACATCTCATCAAGGGGAGGAGGGGGTCGAAAAATTGACAAAATTACCTCACGTAATTAATACGTCGGTGCCCGTTTGGAATGGACAATGACGTTAAAAACAGGACATTAACGTAAAATAACAGAAACCTTGGGAAAAGTTGACCGAGCATTAACGTTATTGGCCGTCTTGAAATGGACAAAAATGAAAACAAAATCAGAAAAAGATTTTTTTTAAACGATATTACTTAAGTAAACTCGAGTACTTAAACTTACTTTACTTTTTTTGAAGTAAGTAGGTATCAAATTATTACTAAAAAAAACAAAAATCAGAAGAGCGATTTTTTATTAAATCGGTCTTGCGACAAGCACATTTTATGTTGTTGCATTTAATTGTGCACTTACATAATAGATATAAAAGAATTTATAAATACATTTTACAGAATAAATTATTATATCATCGGATAACGAAATAAACACTGGTGGCGACATCTCTGTGTTTAATATCTAACAAATTTAGACAGATCTAACCTCACTTTCTTCAAATCAAATTACTTTACTATGGTATTTTTTGGAAACGTAGAAAAAGTATAGTCTGAAACACGTTTGGAATAGCATATTCCGCTTTCGTAAAATCTTTCATAAAATACGCTAAAGAAGTATCGGGTTTTCGCAACGCGCGCGCCATCTGGTGGACTTCGAATGCATTGCGTGAATTTAAGAATTGTCAACAATACATTTAAAGCACAGATTATACATCATTTTTAAATAAATAGTTAGTTTTTTTTACAAAAGAGGAAGGCAGAAGCCTTACTCGACAAATTTTGTTCAATTGCACAGCTAAATCGCGCACGTTATTTGTGTTTTACGTTTCAAGAAAAAAATTAAAAAACTTTTTTAATACTCGATTTTGATTGATTATTCCTTATATCATTTATTAAGAAACTCAACGCTCAAATGCTTATATAGTTACGTTAGTGTGTGTATTTTATCAAAGGGATCATGGTGAATTATTGTGTTTTTATTTGTAAATAAAATTCAAGAACTAAATCGTTGCATTTTCATGTTTTGGATCCAATTCGGTAAGTACATTTGTTGGTGCAGAATTAACCAATGAAAACTTTACCTAATATAATTTTTTTTTTAGTTTGTAAATTTTTAGGAAATTAGTAAAAAATAATGTTTGCACAAACATAACCTTAAAATCAACCATTTTATGTTTGAGTTCTCTAAAAAACTCCAACAACTGCATTTTAAACAACAAAATATACCTACGAATTCATGGCCGTTGAGTGGAGACTTTTTTAATCAACGCTTTTAATAATGCTAAATGCTGTTTAAATTTAGACGACTTATTTGTTTGACGATTTTTACTGAATTGAAATGTTTACACTTTTCACGTTAATTACTACTAAAATTCTATCTAATAGGTACAATTTATATTTACAGGGACTGTATGAAATATATTTTGGATCCAATTCGGTAAGTACATTTGTTGGTGCAGAATTAACCAATGAAAACTTTACCTAATATAATTTTTTTTTTAGTTTGTAAATTTTTAGGAAATTAGTAAAAAATAATGTTTGCACAAACATAACCTTAAAATCAACCATTTTATGTTTGAGTTCTCTAAAAAACTCCAACAACTGCATTTTAAACAACAAAATATACCTACGAATTCATGGCCGTTGAGTGGAGACTTTTTTAATCAACGCTTTTAATAATGCTAAATGCTGTTTAAATTTAGACGACTTATTTGTTTGACGATTTTTACTGAATTGAAATGTTTACACTTTTCACGTTAATTACTACTAAAATTCTATCTAATAGGTACAATTTATATTTACAGGGACTGTATGAAATATATTTTGGATCCAATTCGGTAAGTACATTTGTTGGTGCAGAATTAACCAATGAAAACTTTACCTAATATAATTTTTTTTTTAGTTTGTAAATTTTTAGGAAATTAGTAAAAAATAATGTTTGCACAAACATAACCTTAAAATCAACCATTTTATGTTTGAGTTCTCTAAAAAACTCCAACAACTGCATTTTAAACAACAAAATATACCTACGAATTCATGGCCGTTGAGTGGAGACTTTTTTAATCAACGCTTTTAATAATGCTAAATGCTGTTTAAATTTAGACGACTTATTTGTTTGACGATTTTTACTGAATTGAAATGTTTACACTTTTCACGTTAATTACTACTAAAATTCTATCTAATAGGTACAATTTATATTTACAGGGACTGTATGAAATATATTTCTCCATTCAGCTTAACACTGTTTATTGGAAAACCGGTAAAAACTCAACCCAGGATTTCCTCTCGAAATACACCCAACAACAAAACAAATCGAGCCACGGTTTTTTTTCGATATATTTTAACATTATCCGGCTTTATTCTCAAAAACACTCGTTTGTAATATAAGCGTTTGATAGCTGATTATTAAAAGTTATACTTTTGTTACTTCTTTAGCGTATAGTTCAGCATTGATTGCTTTATATTTTCTTACATTTAAAATAATTTCCTTTACAACGTGGTACATCTACCGTGGCTGCGACATTGTATGAAAACCCTGTATAAATTTTTTTGAAAAAGCAGCAGAATTTGTTCAGGTAGGTTACCTACCGTAGGTATTTAATTTTTTTCCAAGAATAGCTAGGTAGGTATTTCAATATATTTTATTAAATTTATTCTCTGGATATTCCAAATGAATAAGAAAGTGTTCACCAATTGTAAAAGTCGTGAAAGGTAATTATTTGTTGAAACAAATTAATTACAAAATTACATTGGCATAAAGTAAATCCGTACTAAATGTTAAGAATGTATTGCCATGAAAAACCTAATATTAAAAAAAAACGGTAATTATTACTTTAAAAAATCGGTAATTATTACTTTAAAAAATACTAATATATACCTATAGGTATTTTTTAAAGTAATAATTATGCCGTTTTTTTTTAATATTAGGTAGGTAATGTTTTCTATAAACAAAATTTTGTATCCATTTAAAAAAAATGAAATAAAAAAATAAAACAGACAACATTAAAAACAGTTTCTAAAGAATGTTAGAAATTTTCTTTTTAATGAATTAATCTGTTATTTATTTTTTCTGTTTCTAGGATACAAAAAATATGTAAGCATAAGGATACACACACCCCATACACTTAGGGTAATAATTATTATATTTTATCTCTAAACTAATAAGTATTCTATTGTGGCATTATAATTATTATTACATATTTGGATCTAATACCTATATAAAATTAGTAATAGCCTTATATTAAAGAACCTTAAATTATTTATAAAGAAGTGCTTCTCTAACCTTTGAAAATGAAGGTTTCTAGTGTCTTCAGCTGGAGTTCACAGTTACGTAAAACAATCTGGGCACTGCACCTTTAATTTCACACACTGATATTAAGTATTTGTCTTTTGTTGATATCAAATCAAGTGCCCAATGGCACCTATGATTTACATGAATTTTCATCAGCCGCCAAATGCAGCAAAGAACAGCAGACTGAACAGGATACGAAACACCAACCAGTCGGTCCAATAAGAGTTTCCAGGAGCGGATTTAAAAAAATGTCAGCCCCCAATTCTTTGCCAAGTTTAACGTAATATTTAGAAATATTGAAGTTAATTTCACTATATATGTATATATTAGAGTGGTCCTTATAAAGGTCATTTTTAAATTTTGATCGTTCGGGTATCCTCTTCCAAATATGCCGTTTTAAAAATTTCTGAATTTTGTATTATTAGGTATTGTTTACTGTCCGCACGTTCGACAATGCGGAAAGTAGCAACTTTCCGCAGGCTTGTAGAAAAAATGTTTCTTTAAAATAGAAACTGATGAAGATTTTTATTTCATGACACAAGCATCAAAATTCAACTTTTACTGTCTATTTTCGAACATTCGAAACTAAACAGCTTTAAACGTAAAAGTTAACTTCTTTAATTGTCTTTAGATATACGTGTAGGACATACAGGTATATCTAAACACAATTAAAGTGTTGGTACCTACGACTTAATGTTGGTTTGTATACAAGCCTATAGGCTCCGCTAATGTATAAAAAACGTAACTATTAACGATTTATTTCTAACTATCTCTCAAAAGTCAAATTTCCGATGGGCTTGTCATGTAAATAGTGTACATATCCGTGCCGAAAGGCGGCGTTTTCTAAAGAAACCACTAAATTTGTATAATTTATGACAATTTAAAGCTGCCTAATTTAAGATGCTTAGCTTAGGGGACACACAGCGTTGCCGAGTTTTGTAAATGATTAAGAACTTAAAAAATATTTGTGTAAAAGGTATTTTTTATTTTTTTAAATAGGTACATGTATTTCTCATCTTGCGTGGTATGATGTTGCATATGCAACAAAATTTGGTAATCACGTCCGGATTTAGCATAAGCAAAACTAGTAAATTTCTTGGGACCCGACTCGACAGGCCTTGCAATTTTTTAGTGGTATAGATGAAAAATATAACGTTTCTGTAAATAAAAAAATAACATTATTTTACATAAAAAATTTTAATGGCAATGGCAACGCATTAATAAGAAGGAAGCAAAAAATTGTCAATACATGTTTATTGGAAACACTTTTTAATAATACTGGGTCAATCCTATTGGCACAGGCTAGTTAATTACAAGTTAGCTTAAATTATTCTCAAATTGAGGGCTCTTCCTATAAATTTTGCTTAGGGCCCTAAAAATGTAAATCCGGCCCTGGTGTTAATACAGGGTGACATTAAATTTTCGCAGGGCCTGTATGTATTTTTTAGCAAAGTTAACAATAATTTGATCAATCAATTCCATGTTTATTATTTATAGTTTAGTTTAAGAATTGTTTAAATAAAAGTGTAATACTTACCTTATATGAATATTGTTTAATAAAATGTATTATAAGCATTATACAGGGTGTCCCGAAAATGGCCCACTAACACCATAACACAAGATTTTTTTTGGCAAGTCGTTTTTAAGTGTTTGACCCATGGAGCCTACTGTGTAGGACCAATTAAAATTTACGCTGCATATTGAAAACGACGGTACTGAAATAACATGGTTGAAAGAGGTATTTTCCGACAGTTGGTAACCACTGTGGTTATGTAGGTACTAAAAAATACTTTTTTCTACGTATAAAAAAATTGGAAAAACTTTTTGTTTTTCCCTGTATACTGATCAATTTTCCACTTTTTTATACGTGAAAAAAAAGTATTTTTTAGTACCTACATAACCACACTTATAAATTTTTTGTTCCATTTAAAATAAAAAAGTTAAAGGGGGGCGACATTATAGGGGATCACTCTGTAATTCATATATGCATGTAAACATATTGAGTAATTTTGAGGTACATTTTGTCCAATTAAAAGTAACGGCGGCCTACCCCTAAACTGTTTTTGTTTAGGGCCCCTACTATAAACAGGATGCTAACTACGCTCTTATAAGCTTGGTTAAACCTTTTAGTTTAAAATATTTACACGCCAATGACGCAATGACGGTTGGGTTGGGTTTGGGTTGGTTTCGAAGCGGGCGGACTCGGGACGTTGGTTAAGGAAAAAAGATCTGCTTCCCGTCTTAAGATTGCGTCATTGGATGACGTCACTCTGTTAACGGGAGCGCAATAGAGAACCGTCTGACGGGACTCTAGACACGGCGTTAATTTATAACCAAACATTTTTATAAAAACATGCAAGAAAGTTGCTGCAAGTAATTACATACTGTAATACGGGCTTTAAGGCAGATATTTATAGGGGACAACCAATACTCGATTTTTTTAGAATTACCCATATAAGATGTTTAATTAAATTCCTTTTATTTTTTAAAAGTCCGGATCTGCCCTTGTGATTGTGAACTGAAAAAGGATACGCCTATATTTCAGTAGTGCGATAAGGATGAATAATCAGGGTGTACGTGAAGTTTTTTAATTTTTTAAAAAAATAGTTGCTTTCAAAACTATAAAAAAACTCCATTAAATTATTTATCAAATAAAACCAATAATTTAATTTTATTGGCGTATTTAATCTTAAGGAAGTTGGCCTTGGCCACAATACCTTGGCAACACTGAAGCAAATGAAGAATAACATGCCAAGTATAGTATAGTAAAGGTGTATATGGTATAAAGTTATTAAAATGTAATTTAAAACCACTTTTCACTCAACGTTAGAACAGTAAATTGTATTGTGTGCAGTAAATGTTCTGTGATGTTAGGCAGTAGAAGTATCAAGTTATTAATAGGTTAACCAGAAATATGTGATAAAGTGATCAAAACCATTACCAACACAAAATCGTCATGGTAACAAGAGTAACACAATTTAATTTAAACAAATGTTTGTTCTATATTCGAATACCCATGCATATACTCATTATATATGATAAATGATTTTTAATATAACCTACCTAGGTATATAAAATGGTTCGTAAAAATGAATTTTTTGGAATTGCTCTTGTAGCAGTTTTATTCCTTTGGTTATTAGTTTATAGTCAAAGAGAAACTAATTTTCACAGGCCAATTCGATATCAACAATTTGATTTAGGAGAAAGTTTTAGATCTCACACAAATATTACAGTGCCCTTAAGAGATATAATTGATCATCAACGAATTAATATTAGAAATGAATTATACAATTATAAATTTGGCCCTAATAAAATATTGCAAAATTACACATTAGAAACCAAAGGGAGACCAGAAAGAAATATAATAATTACTACATGGAGATCAGGTTCTACTTTTTTGGGAGACGTTATGAACTCTGTGCCAGGAAATTTTTATCATTATGAACCCCTGCTAAATTATGGTATTGTACAAATAAGGGGAGCACCTCAATCAAAACTAGCATTACAAACCATCAAAAGCTTACTTAACTGTGATTATACAAATTTAGATGATTATTTACTTTATGGAAAGGCACATTCCTATCTATTTTCACACAATACAAGACTTTGGAACCAATGTGAATTGCACCCACAGTACTGCTGGAACTCCACCTTTTTAAACCAAATGTGCAGCCTGTTTCCATTTCAATCAATGAAAACTGTTCGATTACGATTATGGCTAGCTGAAGAGATTTTAAGAGATAAATCGTAAGTATAATCAAAGGGAATTTTTCAGAATTTTTTTGTCAAACGTCAACATGGTTTTAAAAAAAAGCATAATACTACTTAATACTATAGTATACTGGACTTATGCACTAATGTAAATAAAAAAAATAAATAGGATGTTTTATTAAAAAAATATTTTTTTTCTGAGCAGCTCGAGCTGCTCTATTTTGGAGATAGGTATACCCAGCAAACACACTAGTCCGGCCATGCAATCGCCCATTGCATTATGTAATGGCCCAGTAATGTGCCGTTGCATGGCCAGACTAGTGTGTTTGCTGGGTACCTTAAGAAAATAATATTAGGATCCCATACTTATTAAAAAATATGAAAAATTATTCAAGATTATTTTTTTAACTGATTAAAACAGATAATAAAAAAATAATGTAGTGCCCTTATTAAGTGGGATACCCTTCAGGTTTAACACTAAATAAAGAATATTATTATTTGAAGTAAGGTTCGTGGGTTTAGGACGTAAAATAAAAACAACTTCCTTTTTTAAGAAAAATTGCCGACGAAAATATTTCTTTCTTTATCAAGGCTAAAAATGAGTTAAAATAGTCAAATTAGTCTATGGACATTCTCAATAGATTACATAACAAACACATAAAGTTATAGTAAATATAGTACTGTATGTAGGTACATATATAAATAATTTAAATTTATATCAATTCCTATAAATATAACAAAACATTAACAAAAGGTAACCCTTTAAATATAGTTTTAATTAAAAAAATTAGAAACAAAAAAAACAAAAATTCTCCACATCAACTAAATAAACCACATAATAATCTAAAACACATAAATAAGCTTACCTATTTTCATAATGAAAGTATATAGTCCATGTGTAAAAATAAAAATAAAATTAACAGCAGCACAGAATTTTTGTTTGTTACTCAATTAAAACTATATTAAAGGGTTTTAGTTGTTACCTTTTGTTATTGTTTTGTTATATTTATAGGATGATCTAAATTTAAATTACAGGGTGATCCCCTATAATGATTGATTGATGAATGATTGATCAGTATACTGTATACAGGGAAAAACAAAAAGTTTATTTTTTTTTCAATGGATCACCATATATATTTATTCATTTTTCGATTCCTTGTAAAATTCTAAGCATATTTCATATAACATACCATATACCTAAATTCAACCGTTTCTGAAATATTTGAAAGAAAGAAAGAAGAAAGAAAATACGTTTATTTTGAAAAATCCAGAGAGTGCACGTTAACACTCTATACGGATTCATCCTCTCACAACAATACAACAAAAATGTACAAACAATAAAAAATAAAAATATAAAAGTAGTAGTAGTAGATATTCATTTCACATTTCGTCATGTTTTAAAAGCTTAAGCTAGTTTCTATACTATAGATAGGTACATTACATGTTTGATAATGCAAGGACGGAAAAGAGAATAAAAATAAAATAAAATGACAATACCTGTTGAAACACCCTAGCTTGGAAGTCTAACCCGAGGCGTCCCCCAAAGCCCGAACAACAACCATCAGTGCGGTCTGAGCATAGACCACACTGGTGACCATTACAGCTCAGACTCCAAAAGATATCTCAAGTCAGACTCCAGAAAACATCTCAAACCAGACGTAAAACCCCTAATGTGTTTGTTTCTGATTTCAATAGGCAACGCATTGTAAATTTTGACACCATTATGATATATGCAACCTTTACCTCTCATTGATAAAACCCTTTCTAGGTTTACATCAGACTTATGACGTGTGTTATGGTCATGGTAGTCGTTGCGAAATTTTAATGAAATATTGGAATGGCGAGTATTAAGATTAACTTGGTGTATATAAACAGATACCTGGTATTTATAGATGTTTTCAAGAGGCATAACATTATAGTTTACAAAAAGAGCTTTTGTGCTGTATCTAATTGGGAGGTTGTATATATTTTTTATCGCCCTATTTTGCAAGATTTGAATAGGCACAATAAGGCCTTTACGTGCAGGATACCACAGTGCAGTCAAATACTGAAGGTGACAATGGACAAGCGAAAAATACACAGACCGAAGTAGTTGTGCTGGCAACATAAAACTTAGTCGCTTCAACACTCCCACCGGCGCAAGTAGTCGTTGTCTTAATTTTAATAAGTGCTTTTCCCAGGAAAGGTTTTCATCAATGTAGAGGCCCAAGTATTTTATTACATTAGAATATTGTAGATTGTCATTTCCAAACAAAATAGGCAATTGATCAATGGGCTTATAGTGGCTATGAATAAACATATATGATGATTTTTTTACATTGAGTGATAATTTATGAGTTATAAGCCAGTTATGTATTATTTCCAAATCAGTTCTTATTTTTTGTCTAATGACATCTAAAGATTTATCATAATACACAAGCATGGTATCATCTGCATATAGTTTTATTTCACCTAGCAAATTAAGGTTAGAGACAGAATTAACATAAATAAGAAATAAGGTGGGGCCCAAGATGGAGCCCTGTGGCACGCCGCATTCAATGGAAAGGCCGGAGCTTTTCACGCCATTGATATTAACAAGTTGTTTCCTTTCTGACAAATAATCCGCAAACCAATTATTGCAAACACCGCGCATACCAATGAGCTCCAACTTTTTCAACAAAATCTCGTGATTCACCGTGTCAAACGCCTTCCGTAGGTCCAGCGACACTAGTGCAGAAGCGTTTCCCTGGTCCACCTGCATCTGGACATCTGATATAAGATCGATGGTTGCTGATGCAGTGTCGCTGGACTCACGGAAGCCGTATTGACCCTTGTAAAAGAAATCCCGTTGATTTAAATAGTTAATTAGCCTTTTGTTTACAATCATCTCAAATATTTTGGAAAATACTGAAAGAATGGATATGGGTCGATAATTATTAGCCTTGTCCTTATCACTGTCTTTATATAAAGGGGTTACTCTTGCTATTTTTAGTTTTTCGGGTACTTTACCAGAGCACAATGATTGATTAATAATTTTACAAAGAATTGGTACCAAATTATCTTTACACTGTTTAAGAGACCGCACATTCACTCCGTCACTTCCAGTTGCCTTAGACACATCTAGCTTCTTGATCAGATAGTCAATCTCCTTTTCTGTTGCTGGCACAAAGAACATGGTCTCATTGTAGCAGGTTTCACCTTGTACATTCAGGGGAATATTGGGTAGTTTACTAGAGAGTTCACTGCCAATACTCACGAAGTATGAATTCATATGTTGACATATGTTCTTCACATCTCTTAATATCTCACCATCATCTTTCTTTAACGAGCCAATTTCATTGCTTGTGCAATGTTTGTTTTGATTTGTTAAGATTTGATTTACAACCCTCCAAGTTTTTTTGGGGTTTCCATGAGCTTCATCAAACATCCTCTCAAAGTATGTCTTTTTGGCTTCTTTGGATAATTGTTTAACTTTTTTATCTGCCTGTTTGTATTTATCTCTATAGCTAGTACTTTCTGGAAAGCATTTATATTTTTTATAGTAAAAATCCCTAGTTTTCATTGTGATCTGTAGCTGACCGTTATTATCCACATTAAATTATTTTTAAGATAATAAGTTGAAATAGTTTGTCTTTCTCTGTCTGCGTACACCATTTTTACTTATTTAAGAAAAAATATTGACATAATGTCACTATGGTAATTTATTTTCAATACAAATTTTGGTATACTGAGGCTTCTTGATTTCTAACACTTTAAAAAAACATTTAATGATAACATTTTGAATGCGAATATTTAAGAAACGGTTGAATTTAGGTATATCGATGGTTATTTGACAAAACATCGTAAGCGACAAAAACCTAAATTTTACATGAGAGATTTTTTTTGTGTGGGAGCTTTATTTTTAAAGTTATTTATCTGAAAACTGGTGAGGCATTATTTTATTAATGTAAAATTCAAATATTTAAGTAAGATCGAATCCAATCTAAAATTTTTATTAAAATTTTGTGGCATACGATATTTACAAAATGTAAAATTAGTCTTGTCGCTTAAGTTACATTTACGTTACTTTGTGGGATATAGATTTGATGATTACTTTTGTCAAAACATCGTTAGCGACATTTATTTTTTTACTTTTATTATTAAATAACAAAAAATTACAAAAAAATTAATTTATAAAATTTCACCAACGATATTTTGCCAATGTTAAAAAATGAAATTCTACATTAGCTTTCTTTAAAAAAAACGAACGATTTTTATTCACAAACCAGTATCTAACCCATGGAGCCTACACAAGGAGCCCGAACTTAATAGGGGAAATTGACAAAACCTGCCCTCTAAATTGTACAAATTAAGTTTCTTCTTTTCACCACCAGCGGCGCTGATTGTCGATGCTATCGTTTCGGTACAAATTAAACAATTGATTCAGAATAAACGGAACACCAGCGCCCTCTTATCTTAGGAAATTCTTATTTACATGATGTTCGGACTTCTTGTGTAGGCCCCATGATCTAACCCATGGTACCATGACCTAACCGTTATAAATATGCAAGATACATACACCTTAAGATAGGATGGTGCGCATGTTGGGCGGGGCTTAATGACGTCACTTGATGAGTGTTTTCAAATCTTTAACGTGCTTTTTAATTATCTACTATTAAAATTCTTGTTTTTGCGATGCTTTTGGATGTTAACTTGCTCTACTTTTTGCTTAACTTGTCGTTTTTGTGTTCAGTAAGGTTGGAATTACTTTTCAGCGTTCAAATTATTGTTATTGCGTTAGGTTAACCTGTTAGGTTTGTTTATTATTGTTTTTGTGTTGCGTTAACTTGTTTGCATTTATTAAAATGCGGTGTGGCATATTTGGATAAAATTCGGACAACCAGTCCAAGAAAAACCCTTTAAATAAAAACATTAAATTTAATCGATTTCCGAAAAAGTTTGATTTGTGGAAACAGTGTTTAAATGCCACAAAAATAATAGACAATATTTACGTTAAGACCGCTTCTGTTTCCTATAAACATTTTCTGGACAGTGGCTATAAGTTTAATTTAAAACAC